TTTAGTAGTAAGTGGTAAGGGTACCTCAAGCAAAGTTTCACTTGGTCCTAGCACATTTGCCTTTGATCTCATGGTCAAAAACAAATTGTTGTGTTTAGGATGGTAAAAGTCGTGACCTTGAGACTCTTGTGTTGACCAATAATCATCAAGTGGTTTTTCGGGACCATTGTGTGCTCAAATCTTATCTAAGGTCGGTGTGGGTCCCTGACTCTGTGTCTTTAGCAATCCTATAGCTTGTGTGGTGAGAATTACATTACAAGTCCAAGTCCCGAGCCATTGGTCTAGAACTTGCCCTGGATGTTTGTTAAAGTGAAATCCTAAGTGAATTTTGACTTGAGACTTGATTATAGGCTCTCCTTGGTCCAAATGATAGCTTGAACACTTCCATAACCTACCAATGATAAGATCCCTAGTCAACCCTTTTGAGCCTTAGACCTTTTTCCTTCGAGAACCATGATACAAGCCTTTACCCATTCTAAAAGATACCCTCTCTTGGCACCCGATCTTTCCCTTAGCACATGGCAAAAGTATAAGTTTGGGGGGGAGAGACGAGGGTTGCAACAGGTGGTAAAAAGGCACAAAAATGAAGAAAATAAAAGGCAATAAAAAAGAAACAAAAGCAAAAAGACAAAAAGAATGTTCATTATGTAAATAAAAAGGGATTTAAGAAAAGCAAAAAATGAAAGGTGTGGAAAGTTGAAAAAGGCGAAAAGATTTGAAATGAATAATAAAGAGTGACAGTGGGTCTCTCTAACCCCTTAGAAAGAAGTGAAAAGACTCAAAAAGTCAAGTGAATGTGTGCCAAAATGAAACAAAAGAAGTGCTAAGGGAAGATGGAACCTACTTAAACCATACATTACCTGCCCTGAATCAAAAGCCTTCACTATGTCTCCACAAAAGCCCTATATGATCTTGAGTTGAATGAAGCTTACATTAGTGGTGACTCACATAAGGGGCAAGCATATGGTACTTAGAGCTGGACTCGTGACTTTTCCTTGAGAGAGATGAGTGATTTTCCATTAACCTCGTTCTGAGTGCTACTATTCTAAAGGTGAGATTTGCTTAGGGAGAGTTGAGGATGTGTGAGTTTGGGTTCCACAATGACCAAAGTAATAGAAAGAGTCTTTGATGTGTTGAGTCAACTCTTGATGCTCTTGTGTCACACTTAATCCATGGTGTTTCAAAGAGTAAAATGTTATTAATGATTCATTTGTATAGAGGGCAATTGTTAGTCCTAACTGATGCTAGATGAGGACATTTTAGGACAGCTAAATCTTCTTGGAATTTTCCTTAAGGGATGGGTCTTATTTTGTTTGCTTGAGGACAAACAAAAGCTTAAGTTTGGGGGAGTTGATAACTAGGGATTTTGATACATTTTATACTCCTTCTTGCTTATGTTTTGATTAGAAATTTGTACAAAATAGTCCCAAAAAGGCTCACAAGTTGTGCTTGATTGCAGGTTTGATCAACAAAGTGACAAGATGTCAAAGATCGGCTCAAAAAGGAGCGAAACTTGCACAAGTACCAAGACAAGGCAAGATCAGGCAAAGCAGGCTCAATGCGGCCGCACACCATTTTGTGCGGTCCGCACAAGTGAGGTTCAGAGAAGTGGACTTCCAAGCCAATAGGCAATGCGACCGCATGAGATTTAAATGCAGTCCGCATTGGAGTCACTGCGGCCGCACTCGATTTAATGTGGTCCGCAAAACCAAGGAGCAGAGAAGTGCCAGTTTGGAGATTGAAGCCAATGCGGTCCGTGCTCCATTTCATGCGGACCGCACTAGAAGCCACCGCGGCCGCACTCGATTCTGTGCGGTCCGCACTGCCCGTGTTCAGAGAGTTGAATTTTAAGTCAAGAGCCTTAGTGCGGCCGCACGTGATTTTGTGCGGTCCGCACTAGCCCCTCAGGGGTATTTTTGTCTAGATTTTTTAGCTTAGTATAAATAGCTTCTTTTCATATTTTTAGGTTATCAGATAGTTTTGGTACTGGGCTGCACTCGTAACTTCGAATATTTTAGCTATTTTGAGTAATTTTAGCTTCATTTTCAACATTGAATCTTCTAGTTTATCTTAGCACATAATTAATATGAGTTTTTCTTCATCTATTTCTTTGTTTTCTTCTCTAATTATGAGTAGCTAGACCCATAAGCTAGGGTTGTGGCTCAACCCTAGTGTGGGCAATTGATGGGTCTTGTATTTTCAGGCTAGATTGACTATGGGTGTTTGATATTTGGGCTAATTTCATGTTTAATTGCTGAATTGGTGGTTGCAAACTCTAGTTTCTGTTTAGTTGACTTTGGCTCTTTTTGAGAAAGAGAGCCTAAGTCTCTGAAATTGGTCCAACAAGGAATTGGGGCGTACTCAAGAGATTGATAGCCCCAATTAAAGGGTTAAACCTAGAGATAGTAATACCCGACTTGAACCTTGATTGTTTGTGCAAATTTGCATACCCAATTGGTCTTGAGAAAGTCAATTCGGGCAAAATCACTCGAACCACCGAGAGATGTAGAGTGGGTAAAATCGTGCAATGGTTATATCATACTCCCCAAACATGTCAATCATGTCTTAGACTCAAGTATCTGTCAATTGACCACCTAGGCAAAAGTCACTACCCTAATGCTTTTTAACCATTTGAACAACTCACAATAGTTTACTCTTAGCTTATTCTAGTTTAATTTAGCATTGTAGCTTGATAAAATTAGAAGTAAATCATAAATCCAAAAATGTTAAGAAGTGCAATTTGGAACACATACACAACTCAGCTTTAGACAGACACCCGACTCCAACTTCTAGCTCCCTGTGAAAATCGATCCCGACCTTAACGGGTAAAAGCTGCTTCGACCCTCTCTCGCTACTCAATAGTAGTGTAGGGTTGGCCTCGATCAGATAGCATATTTGGATACAACCTATCTAAACTCCGTAACACTTATAAAAATAAGGCCCAAGTCCCATGTTACTTTCTTGACAGTTGGATCAAATATCAACTTTTTTTATCTTATTTGCATCAATTTTTCTCTTGTGTTCTTCATCATACTCATTTTCCTCATCTGAAGCAAAACTTTCAGCATCAGAAGAACCAAAATATGGTTCATCAGCCCCAACTAACCCTTCATACCTATTTTCATTGCTCTCAGCCCTCGGCTCATCAAACCAACGGTCTATACCAGTATCCCGTAGATTTATGTCACCCTTATCTTTATGTCTTTCACTCCTTTTCCTCCTATGCTTCCTCAATATTTCCCTGCACTTCTCAAACTCTTCATATACATCAGAACCATATTGATTATTATCATGAACATCTTCGTTAACTCCATCACTCTCAAACTCAGATGAATTATCAAAATCTGAGTCATTCTCATTATCAAGCTCACCTTCATCATATTCCTCTATTTCCCCCTCTTCAACATATTCTTCCTCTTGCTCTTCTAAGTATATAGTGACTCTATCAGCCTCACTATTTGTCCTACCAACTCCTGGCCCAGTAGCATTTATGTCAATAACTATTAAAGGGGCAGCATGTGTGACATAAATATCTAGGGTATCCCCATCCTCCAGTTCATTTGAAATGTCTAATATATCCTTATTAGTTAGTACAGTTGCCAATTTATCAGTTTTGTCCATGGGACAAATATACAGCTCAATAATATTTTTTAGCCCCATTTGCTTAGTGTAATCCATTAGCTCAAAAAATGATAACATATCTTCATCTACATCTAAGGTCAATGATTGACTACCCCCCACATAACGAGCAAAGTACTTGGAACTAACACCCCATCATGATACTATTTTAATGTAATCAGATTAAAAGATATTTTTCTTGCAAAAGGGAGCAAGCAGTAATAAATAAAGACTTGACTAGCTACACATAAAGCCAAAGCAGTAATACAGTAATAAATAAAGAAAGGCAAGAAATAAAAAGCTACACATAAAGCCAAAGTAGTAATGAATAAAGAAATAAAGCCAAAGCAATTCACAATATTAAAATCGGGTGTAACAATAAAAAACTAGAAAAACCCTAACTTTAGACATCGTTTACAAAGAGCCAAATACAACCAACAATAAAACACTCTTAAAAGCAGAAAAACGACAAACAGAAAGTAACATTGAGAATGAAGGATTCCCCTTTAGAAAAGTACGAAACCTTAAATCGACTAAATATAAATAACAAAAAACAAAACCCACATGCACTGGACGAATAAAATGTGCATACTCCCCTGAAGGACTTGAACCAACCGTTTGTGAATGGTAAAATTACCCGATGCAGATCATATTCACATGCACCGGGCGGATCTCCTTCAACGCCTTCAATGGAAGAAGAAAGAAGAGTCGATAAATGTGGAATTTGTTTTGGGGTTATTTGCACTTAGGCTTTTAATTGGAGTAGGTCGGGTCGGGTAATGTAATAGGTTTATTAGACAGCTGGGTCGGGTGTTATAATGGTCAACGGTAAATCAAGTGTGTGTAATATACCCTATGAATTATTAAAAGGACTGCTCAACTTTGGAGGGTCTTAGACACACTTGAAAAAGATTAGATGTGTAAAGGTTTACCCGTGTTTATTGGGCTTGTAATAAGGATTTGACTAAAAATTTGATGGATAAACTATGCATTTTGCTCAATTATCAAACACACATACAAGTACACTGCCACCGGTCACTACTACACTAACATCACTACCGTCGACCGCCATATATAATTTGATTTAGTATGTTATCTAAAGTTATACTTATTCATTTAATTAATAAATTATATGTACATTCCTAATATTGAAAAATTATTGTCTAGTATTTAAATATAAAAATAATATTTTAATAATCAAATATATATTGAGTTTCAGATATCTTTAATTTTAAAAATATCAAATGGCTAACCAAGATTCTCTTAAATAATTTCAAATGATATGCACGTAATAAGAGGAGGAAAAAAAAATACAGATTTTTACTTTCAGAAAAATATAGGGACGTGGCTGTATGTATGTGGCTTCATGCTGTCCAAACAATTTGGAAATTTGGATTCTCAGCTTTACTTCCAAATTTAGCTTCAGCTCTCTCACTAACCAAACTGTCCCAAGTCTGAATATGGCGATTTCAAGTTCTTCATCAATCTCCATATCCAAATTAGACTTTCCAGTTTCATTTTCACAAAGCATAAACAAGAAAAACTCAATTAGTTCAATTCCTTTTTGTAGAAAATATATTACTAAAAACTTCTTTATTTCCAGTAAGACTCCAAAATCTTGTGGCTATATATCCAATTCACTTGTAAATGACTCTTCAATTGATGAAACGTCTAAAGAAAGCATAACCCAAGTCCCCATTGAAGTTAAAACCAGGTAAATTCTTTCTATTTCTGTAGTGTATTTATGTTGTTTATTCAAATATTCAATTGTGAAGGTAGTCTTGGAGCAACGGTCAAGTTGTCTCTGTGTGACTTATAGTTTACGGGCTCGAACTGTGAAATCAGCCACTGATGGCATAAGGGTAGGCTGCATATATCACACCTTCTTGGGGTGCAGCCCTTACCGGACCATGTGTGAATTTCTGATGGCTTGTGCACTGGACTGCCCTTTATTCAAATATTCAACTGTATTTTAGTAAAAATTCACCCTTTTTACTGTGTCTGAGAAAAGCTTGCAATCTGTACCTATAGACTCTAGTGTATTATTGGGATAATGTTTGCCTCTGAAAAAAAAACTGTAGCCTTTATTGCCCAATGACGGGTAAAAACTTGCTTGCATCGGGTTTACACCAAACCAGTAGAAGCATGGCATTTGCTTGCATATAGTTCACTTAATCATGATTAATTGATGTATGCTTTTACTTTATTAAATAACCTAACCATGGTAAGTTTACTCGGTTTGGTGTGAACACTCGCTTGAGGGTAGGGGCGGATCTAGCCTATTGAATGTGGGTTTCCGTGAACCCAGTAGCTTTTACATATACCATGTATAGGTATTAAAAAATCTACTAAATATCCATAAATATTTGATTGTGAACCCAGTTATTTATTGTATATTTGCTTAAGGTCGTTATAGGAACCCATAAACTTTAAATCCTGGATCCGCCTCTGCTTGAGGGTAAGTATTTACCCCAATTGACTAGCAAGATTGCTAGTTCTTAAGTGTGAGTTCGGAATGACACTTTCCCGGTGTTTTCAAATGAGCCCGTTTAGTGGAGAATATATAGCCGACCCCAGCTAGTTTGGGATTGAGACGTGGTTAATTGATTGATCTATATACAGTTAGATTGGGACTAATGGCAGATCGAAAATGTAGCTAATGCTTGAAAAACATAGGCTAACAGATACATATTGGATAAAAATTACTCATCCAAAGAAAGAAAAAGGTTCTATTGGAGGATAATTAAAGCATAAAACACATTAAAGGAAGTACAGTTTCATCCTAAAGCTATTTGTTTCTGTACAAAATTTACATTCTTGCTATGCTTGGAATGTATTTCAAGAACAAGCGGTGGGGATTTAATTGAAAGTTTCAGAATTATCATTTCTGGAAAGACTGAGAATGTAACTTAAAGATTTCTGAATGAGGTCATTTAGCCTATTGCTCGATTTTGCAATTTCCATATTCAACTGTTTATCTGTTTGTTTTGGTCCTGCAGTACATGGAACTGGAGGGGCTATTCCATTCGATACCAGTATAGTGGCAACAGTGGCCCTGCACTCGTTTTAGTCCATGGTTTTGGAGCAAACAGGTCAACATCAATCACATTTTGCTTATAGGTACTAATTTGCAAAACTACACCACGAACATAATTTTTCCTTTCCTCTTCATTTCATAATCCTTTTCTCTTTTGGCCTTTGAAGTTTTAGTCACATATTAGACAACAGAATTTGAACTTTAGCATGTAATTTATCTTTGATATATTGACGCTCTTTTTTATATTAAAGCCAAACTCTATTATGCTAAGTTTCTTTGAAGATACTTGAACGGAAGCTATAGAATAATACAAAGAACTTCGCGATCTTGTTTCCTAGACGAGTATAGAAGATGCCTAAAGTTGGAGGTCTTATTTTGCATCAATCAAGCTAATTTATGTACGTAAAACTTTCAATGTAGCATTTCTTTTATAGTTGCTAAACCAGATCACATGGTTAACGTGTAGCTTATTTTGCTGGCTGTTGGTTGATTTGGTTTCATTTGAATGCAAGTTCAACTATTGTCACCCTGCACAAAGATCATGCTTGGAATTTTGTTACTGTTTCATTCTGTTTGATCTGGCGTTTAGAATGATCGTTTTTCCCACAGTGACCATTGGAGAAAAAATCTGCCTGTTCTTGCGCAGTCACATCGGGTGTTCTCTATTGACCTTATTGGTTATGGCTATTCAGACAAACCAAATCCTCGCGAGCTTGGTATAGACAACTTTTATACATTTGAAACATGGGGCTGTCAGCTAAACGATTTTTGTAAGGATGTTATCAGAGACAAAGCCTTCTTCATTTGCAATTCCATTGGAGGTGACCTCTTCTCTTTCTGTTTTGTTTATGAGCTTAAAGTTAATATACTTACTACTATTTAATGACTTTGTAGATAATATATAATTCTAGAAGACTGAACCTTTTATATCTAAATTGGTAAAAGATCCATTTCACAGTCTCGTGAAATATTCCAATTGATTCTCACTTTCTCTAGTTCTTTGCGCTTATGTGCTTCTTTCATATTTTTATGCTTTAATTTATGTGATGTTTGTAACCCATAAAAGAACTTTCTGGATACCTCTGCAGGACTTGTTGGTCTTCAGGCTGCAGTAATGGAACCACAACTCTGTAGAGGCATTCTTCTTTTAAATATCTCGCTCCGAATGCTGCATATAACAAAGCAGCCTTGGTTTGGAAGACCACTGATTAAAGCATTTCAGAATTTATTGAGGTGAACTTCTTTATTCATTACATCTCGAATCTTTTGCTATCTGCAACAGACTCATGTTCTAAGTGTTTTTGACTCAGAAATACTGCAGTTGGGAAATTCTTTTTCAAAAGTGTTGCTACGCCTGAATCAGTGAAGAATATTCTATGTCAGGTAGATAATTTAAAGCACCATTTTGTCTATAATGTTATATCTATCTGAAGAATTAAAAAGTAATTGCTAACAGAAATGTTCACTAAAGTATAAAACAATGATCTTGGGATATCTTTCAATGTTTAGCGTCCGTCAATTGTTATTCAAGATAGCATAATTTAGGAGGAGTGGACATACATGAACTATTAAAAAGAACAAAATCTGACATCTAAGGCCAAAAACTTCACAGGCTACTTGTAACTTAAATTTTGACTTGGAGTAATTGAGAATTTTCAAATTTAAGCAGCTTAAAAGATTACGTTTGTCGTAGTTTTAAGGTTGAAAATATTCAACTATTTGAGGTCGGTAAGTATTGTGTACATAGCAGTTCTTTAAAGGGTATTGAACTTAAGTGGAGCATTAGTTGGTTTAGAAGAAACTACTATGACAAAAAGGTCAGAGGGATGCCGCTTTAGCAAGTGAAACACAGCAAGAGATGACCAAAACATCGCATTTGAAAAATTTGTGGTATGCTGGTCACATATTTGGAGGATCTATAGTGTATTTTTACGGTTTGTTTTCGTTTATTTGTTGTGACTATAGCAGAAATCGATAAGATTGACCAAAACTTTCTTTGCAGTGTTACCATGACACATCCCAGGTGACAGATGAGTTGGTACAGGCCATCCTTCTTCCAGGGCTCGAGCCTGGTGCTGTCGATGTGTTTCTTGAGTTCATTTGCTATTCAGCGGGGCCTCTTCCTGAGGAACTACTGCCCCAAGTAAAGGTGATCCTAAATTTATTGCTATTATTTCTGTACTCTAATCGCTTATTTATTTATTTGGGAACTAAATCTTTTTGGAATTCAATGTTTTTCCCCAAATGTGAAACTTGCAGTGTCCTGTTCTGGTGGCGTGGGGTGACAAGGATCCTTGGGAGCCAATAGAACTAGGAAGAGCCTATGGCAAATTTGATACAGTTGAAGATTTCGTTGTCCTCCCTAATGTTGGCCATTGCCCTCAGGTCTTTCCTCCCTCTTTCAAATGCAGATGCAATTGTCAAATGCCTTTAATTCATTATCTGCAATGCAATCATACTCGCAACGCAAATTCAAGATTTAAGTTTAATGGGTTCAACCTTAAGGTTTTTATCACTTAACATAGTGCATTTAGAATTATGGGTTCGAAACTTAATGGGAGCCGTGGAGCAATGCTCAAGTTGTCTTCGTGTGACCTATAGGTCACGGGTTCGAGTCGTGGAATCGATCACTGGTACTTGCATCAGACTAGCTAGGCTGCCTACATCACACTTTGGGGTGCGACTCTTCCCTAGATCTTGCATGAACGAGGGATGCTTTGTGCACTGGGCTGCCCAAAACTTAAAATTAAATTGTTGAAAGTTTAGTGGTTTTTCACACACATATATACGCAAAATTCTAGGTTAAGCTGAACCTATTAGACAAGGCTCCATCCGCATCTGCATACTCAAAGTACGTAGCTTATATATGAAGCTATAACGTTAAGAAAACACGCTTCTTCAAAATTTGCATGTCATCCAAAGAAGAAAAGCTTGATTCTTGTACAAAAGGGCAGTCCAGTGTACTAAGTTCCCGCTATGCACGAGGTCCAAGAAAAGGCTGGGACCACAAGGGTCTATCGTACGCAGCCTTACCCTGCATTGCTGCAAGAGGCTGTTTTCACGGCTCGAACCCGTGATCTCCTGTTCATATGACAACAACTTTACCAATTACGCCAAGGCTCCCCTTCAAAAGTTTGATTCTTATGTAAAATATATTAGAAGTCTGAGGATTGTGTCTCGTCATTGTGACATTTTATTGATTTTCTTGTAGGATGAGGCACCTCATCTTGTGAACCCACTGGTGGAATCATTTGTTGCTCGTCATGCCAACGTTGAGAACTGAGTCGCTGAGCGCGTACTCTTGACTCTTGCTGTTTACATCAAAATATACAATTTTGTTCTCAATCCAAGAACGGCGAAGGTTGCTAGTCGAGAAAGACTGAAAGAAGTATATGGGGAGAACAAGGAAAAAGTGAGACATAGTTTACTCTATTCATGTGAAAGGAAATAGGTACAATATTTTATACCATTACAAACCTGTTTCTGTTAATATATTTAGCCAAAAAAATGTACGAAAGCTTTGTCCAACGAAAAGTATTTAAAGAGCATATGCTATAACATGTCTCGACGTTTTTAAAATGAAAAAATTACTTGCTAATTTTCGTACAATCTTCTCTTAATTTGTTCTTTATATATGTGTGTTAGTCGCACCCTCTCTTAGAGAAATTAATTTCTAATTTTCTCTATATGATGTAGGTCTTTGAGGCTCAATATTTATTCGAATATGACGTTGTTGGTCTCGAAACCATTCTGTAGAACTTATTTTCTTTTTATTATGTATTTTCTATTCCATAGCTAACACAACCTGTAAATCGTAGTCCTCCTTCGTTTCAACCATTCATTTTAATTCTTTTTTTTTCATGGTTTACTTCTGCATGTTTTCCACGTTTTACTTCTCCTCAGATATTGAAGAAAAAAGTTTAAAGTGGATAACTAAAGAGTGCCAAATAAACACAATTTCTGCCTTTTCTCATCAATCATGGCGATATGTTAAAACAAAGAGTTAAAGTTTTGTTCACCATTAGTGTAAATTTGTTTTTATACCATCATGTAATATTGAATTGCTATATAGCTTACCAATATTATTTTAATTTTTTTTCTTGTTTAAAAAATTCAAACGCTGCTTTTCCCCATCTCCACTCTTTCCCTTCAACATTTGTCGTCCTACTGGGTTCACAATCTATTAGAGTATATGAATATATTTGGTGGATTTCTCATGAATATATAGAATTGAACCAGAGCTACTGGGTTCTAAAGAACGCGTAACATATATTGTGCCTTTGTCACTGATTCAATGGTTGATTTACATAAGAGAAACAAATTTCCTATTAGCTTTTTAATTAGTTAAAGATAATTAAAGTCTTGCTCTCTCTTCCTTCCCCATTAAACTACGTATATGATAAAATTAAAAAGCTACCTGTGATAACCCGCCATGTCATCATACCATATAGGCGCCATCTGGCATATATTAATGACATGTGGAAGCTTACATAAGAAGAGGGCTAGCATTTGTGAGAAGATTCTAGAGAGGTATGGACATTTCCTTCGGAAGAACCTAGATCCTTATGGATTTGCTAGAAAAGTCCTTGGAATTTTCCAGGCTTGTAGAGAATTCTAGAAAAAGCCCTTATCTTATAAATATCAAGGACTTGTGTAATAATTAATATTTACACACTAGCCCCTAGGAGACTAGTATATAAAGGGGGCCATTCATTTGTAATTCATCAAGCAAACAATTCAAGTTCTCTCTAATACAAAGCTTCATTTAACAATTCTCTTGTGTTCTTTCTTCCATTCTCTTAGCGATCTTGAGTGTACTAAGGCTGACTTGACATAGCAAGAACGTGAGCAAGTTGTGCAAGATCGTAAGCGAGTTGTCAAGTGTCGCAACTTAGTTAACAACTAAGGACGTGACAGTGTGGTATCAGAGCGAAGGTTTCAACTAAGGGAATGGCGAACGACGGAGAAATTAACATTGCCAACACCCAAACCAACGTCATCCAGGATGCTGCTGGCAAGAGCAGTCGTAGCAAAAAGAGGAATGCCACCAACAAGAGCCAGGAGGTGCCACCTGAGGTTGTGTCAAACGAAGGGCTTACATCCCAAGAACCATCTGCCACTGAGGCGAGCAAGGATGAAGTGGAGGTCCTTCCAGAGGACGTCTCGCTCGGTAAAGAGTGAGTGATGAAGATGAACGCGGGGATGGATGCCGTGGAGATCTTTGGCCAACGCTTAGGGAAGGTGGAAGGCACCCTTAACGTTCTTGAGGGGCACACTCTTTAAGAGATTGAGAGTATCCGAAATGACTTGGAGGGACGTACACAGATTGAGATGGAACTAAGGCAAACTATCACTGCCTTAGAGTGCAAACTCATGGAGGCTTTGAGTACTATCGATGCTATGAAGGCAAAGATAGAGTCACTCAAGGAACATGTCAATGCCGGCGTGACCGAGGTAGCCAACAATGTTGTGGTGACGAGGGAGGCCATGNGAGGGAGGCCAAGATCGAGGCTCCCAAACCCCCGGTGTTCAAAGGTGTTCGTGATGCACAAGAAGTGGAAAACTTCCTTTGGCACTTGGAGAACTACTTCAGGCATGGCAAAGTGAGGGACGACGAGGCCAAGATCAACATTGCGGTATTGTACCTCTCAGAGACTGCCATGCTATGGTGGAGAAGGAAGATGGCCGATGTGGATAAAGGTCTATGTACCATTACCACATGGGATCAATTCAAAGCGGAGTTCAAGCGACAGTTTTTTCCAAACAATGTCTTGTACGAGGCAAGGCGCAAGCTTAGGGAATTGAAGCAAACAGGGAGCATACGTAACTATGTCAAGGAGTTCACTACCCTTATGCTTCAAATCCCCAACTTGACCAATGATGAATTGTTGTTCCACTTCATGGACGGGTTGTAAATTTGGGCTAAGAAGGAGTTGCAACGCCGACAAGTCACTAATATAGACCAAGCTAAAGTGGAGGCCGAATCATTGATGGATTTCAGGCATGACAAACACGACAAAGGCAATGGCAAGGAGTCAAAGGTTAACAATGTCAAAGGTGGGGGAGACTGTGGCAAAGTCAAGGAGATACAATAATAATACTCCAAGACTCAAGACTTCAAAAAGTCGAGTGGTCGTCAGGGCTACGCCGAGAAGAAGGCACAGGTCGAGAAGAAGGGATGTTATATATGTGGAGGTCCACATGGCTTCAGGAATTGTCCTGACCTCAAGAGCCTCAGTGCCATGGTACGTGAGCAGAAGGGGCAACCACAAGGAAATAGTCCGGGAACCGCACAATTGGGTATGATCGGATTATGTGGTGTTGTCACGAAGCAAGCTATCCAACCTACTGAGAATGGCAATCAGTACGTGGATCTCACTATCAACAACAAGTCCGCTTGTGCAATGGTGGATACTGGAGCAACTCATAATTTCGTGACTGAGGCTGCCGCAAAGAGACTAGAATTGAAGCTTGCTCCAACCAACTCTCGCGTAAAGACCGTGAATGCCGAGATACAGAATGCTCGTGGGGTAGCTAATGGAGTTGGTGTCAAATTGGGAACTTGGAATGGTATGACAAACTTTACCGTAATCGCTATGAATATCTTTGACATCATACTAGGGCAAGAGTTCTTTAGACATTGTCATACTTTAATCGACCCCTACCTCCAACGTCTCTTGGTTACGGAGCTAGAAGGAGCTTGCATGGTACCTACAATGACTATGCCACACGAACAGAGCCAAGCACAACTCTCAGCTATGCAGGTTGTCAAGGGGATCAAGAAGGGGGAGCCGACGTTCGTGGCAACCATCACAAGTCTGGAGGAAAACAAGAGTTTTCAAGAGACACTGCCACCATTCATAGAGAAGTTGCCTGAGGAAAACAAAGATGTCATGCCCGAGGAGTTGCCTAAGCACCTACCTCCTAGGCGAGAGGTGGATCACAAGATTGAGTTGGAGCCAGGGGCTAAGCCACCCGCATTTGCCCCATATCGTATGACACCTCCCGAGCTAGAGGAGCTCAGGAAACAATTGAAGGAGCTACTAGATGCTGGTCACATTCGCCCATCAAAGGCACCTTTTGGCGCACCAGTATTGTTCCAGAAGAAGATGGATGGATCGTTGCGTTTGTGCATAGACTATCGAGCACTTAATAAGGTCATCGTGAAGAATAAGTACCCGATCCCGCTCATTGTTGACTTGTTTGATAGACTTGGGCAAGCCAAGTACTTTATCAAGGTAGATTTTTGAAAGGGCTACTACTAGGTTCGCATTGCGTAAGGGGATGAGTCAAAGACAACATGTGTGACGAGATATGGAGCCTTTGAGTGGTTGGTGATGCCCTTTGTCTTAACCAATGCACCGACCACATTTTGCACCCTTATGAACAAGATCTTCCATCCCTACCTTGATCAGTTCGTGGTAGTCTACCTAGACGACATAGTCATCTACAGCAACAACTTGGAGGAGCACATGGAACTTAAGGAAGGTTTTCCAAGTCTTGCGAGAGAACGAGCTATACATCAAGAGGGAGAAATGTTAGTTCGCACAATCAAAGGTGAACTTCTTGGGCCATATCATTAGCAATGGAGAGCTACGCATGGACGAGGCTAAGGTATGTGCTATCCAGGAGTGGGAGGCACCTATAAAGGTAACTGAGTTGAGATCCTTCCTTGGCCTTGTTAACTACTATCGTCGGTTCATCAATGGATACTCAGCAAAGGCCGCACCATTGACTGAGTTGCTAAAGAAGAACAAGCCATGGGTTTGGACAGAGCATTGTCAAAAGGCATTTGAATGCCTTAAGGCAGCTGTAACAGAGGAGCCAGTCTTGGAATTACCTGACTTTGCCAAGACTTTTGAGGTGCACACAGATGCCTGAGACTTTGCCATTGGGGGTGTCCCGATGCAGGATAAGCATCCCATAACATTTAAGAGCCGCAAGTTAAATGAGATGGAGCGGCGTTACACGGTACAAGAAAAGGAAATGACTGCCATTGTGCATTGCCTTCATACATAGAGACATTATCTGCTCGGGTCGAGTTTCATGGTCAAGACTGATAATGTGGCTACTAGCTACTTTCAGACACAGAAGAAACTCACACCAAAGCAGGCTAGGTGACAGGATTTCTTAGTCGAGTTTGATTATGCGCTGGAGTATAAGCCGGGAAAAGGTAATGTTGTAGCTGATGCCTTGAGCCGGAAAGCCGATCTTGCTACAATTACTTCAGCGAGATGGGACATTAGGGGGGCTATAAAAAAGGCATGCAACATGATTCAATAGCCAAACAACTTATCGAGTTAGCCAACCAGGGCAAGACGAGATGTTTTTGGGTAAAAGACGGCATATTGCTTACCACGGGTCGGCGGGTCTACATGCCTAAGTTTGGAGACATTAGACGGCGGATCATAAGGGAGAGTCATGATACAATGTGGGCTGGTCATCCAGGCCAACGTCGCACTAGGGCCTTGGTTGAGTCAGTCTACTATTGGTCACGCATGCGAGATGATATAGAATGTTATGTGCAGACTTGTCTTGTATGTCAGTAGGACAAGGTTGAGCAACAACAACCTAGAGGACTTTTGGAGCCACTACCAATTGCAGAG